TCTGAACGAAAAGTCCGTTCTGCTCTTCGTTCGAATTCTGTTGTTTTGCAGGATTATGACAAAGATGGGCCTCCAGTCAAGCGGGCGCGCGTGGACCCCGGTCCTCGTCTCGCTGCAGCTGTTGCTGGGGCCCCTAGGCAGACGGGAAGCGGAAGCGGTCCTGGGCGTAATAGTCATGGGGGTAGAACAGGTTCGCGTGGCGGGCGCGGAGATAGGGGTCGCGGCACTGGCCGTCCCAGTGCACCCGCTGGCGGAGAATCCGCCACTCCGTTGGCGAAAGCTTGCGAGTTGACCAAGTGGGTCAACCAGTTCGGCCGTAGGTTGACGCACGGGGAGGTGGGAATTCTCCGACAGCGTGCGGGCGGTAAGGCCGTCTGTTTTTGTTGTGAGGTGGTTAGTCCCGACCACCTCTACGACAACTGTCCCGCTCTCAAAAGGTTGCGTGAAGCGGGGCTGTGCTAGGAATTTGCTCAGGGCGGTATTGAGGGATATTATCCTGAGCTTCCTTTTGCGGGGATTCGTTCTTTGGTCCGCGCGGTTAGACCCGCTGCGTTGGCAGAGTTTGAGAGTGCCGTTGGACGCCGTTTTTCTTTTGACGCCGTTGCTGTCAAACCGGGCTTTGACTCGGAATGTAACATAACGGTTCCTCGTGGTCGCTCTCTCTGCTTGGTCGATGTTGGTGGTCATACTGTGCTTTTTGTCCCTGCATCCCTCACTCAATTGCGCGTTTCACTTCGGCACTACCTTGCATGCAAGCACCGCCGTCCTGACACCGCGGCCGGCATTTTGCTACCTTCGCATATCGCTCGGCGGGCTTCGACGTTGCTAGCAGGTATGCGCCGAGTGCTTACGTTCCCTGCGAAGTCCGTCCTTTTCAACGGCCTTTCGCTTGAGGGTAAAACAGTAGAGCTTCCTGGTATTCCGTACCCTGCTGAGTTGTGGTACGATGCACCTTCACCTTGCCTCTCTGTTTCCCGGGAGCCCTTTGCTTCCTCTCTTTGCGCAGTTGCCTCCGGTTCTGTGGACACACGAGTTGCTTTGCCTCTGGTGTCTCTGCGGACTGGTGGCCAAACATTTTCGGCATTGGTGGACACAGGCGCTACTCACGACTTTATTAGTGAGTCCCTTGTCCAACGGCTACACCTCCCGGTCCGCTCTTCGGACTGGTCCCATGTTTCGCTCGCTGA